TTTATCTGATGTTTCCAGAATAAGATAATCTATAGTAAAAGAAACTAGGCTCATACTTTCTTGAGGCTACAGGAGTCAGAGATAAGAAAGGTTCAAAAGTTACTTGGTATAAAGTTTCTTCTGAGAAATGTGAAAATATATTAAAAATTAAGTAGTGATCAATGTGCCACCTGTGAACATACTTTTAAAAGTTTAAAGTATATTCTTTTAATGGTTTAATTATATGATATGGAAAAGAAATTAGCAGCTAATGAATTAAATAATGCCAAAGAACATAGATATTATTAAGGTTTTTGTGGTTTTAAACATAATCATATGCTCCAAGGTTAACATTACTATAGAATGACATAAAAGTTCTGTATGATATTTATAGGTATACCAGAAGATATACTGTAAAAAAATCAAACCTAGAAAGCACTGCAGAAATTAGGAATCCATGGAACATTCCTCAATATAATAAAGGCTCTGTATGACAAACCTACAGCTAGCATTATACTTAATGGTGAAAAGCTAAAGCCCTTTCTTCTAAATTCAGGAATGAGACAAGAATGTTCACTCTCTCTACTTTTATTCAATTTAGTATTAGAATGCCTAGCTAGATAATAAAACAAGATGCAAACATAAACATGATCCAAATAGGGAAAGATGAAGTAAAAACTCTCCCTCTTTGCAGATGACATGATCTTGTATTTAAAGAACTCCATTGGGCTCTACTCCCAAATTACTGGAGCTGATTCAAAATTTGACAAAGTAGCAGGGTATAAAATTAACCCTCAAAAAACAATGGTTTCTCTGTATGCCATTAATGAGAAGAGCACAGCTGAAATCAGGGAAGAAACTCCTTTTGTAATTGCACCACAAAAAATAAAATACCTAGGAGTTAACTAAAGAAGTGAAGGACATCTAAAATGAAACGTTTAAAACCTGAAAAAGGAAATTAAAGCAGAAACTCAAGAAATGGAAAAACCTCCCATGCTCCTGGATTGGGAGGATTAACATCGCAAAAATGGCAATACTGCCAAAGGCTATCTACAAATTTCAACCTCATTCTTTAATGAAAAAGAGGAAGCAATCCAAAAATTTATATGGAACAATAAATGACCTTGAAAAGCTAAAACAATCCTAAACAGAAAACAATGCTGGGGGGAAGAACAATACCAGACCTCAAACTCTACTACAAAGCCATAATAATCAAAACAGTTTGGTACTGGCACAAGAACAGACCTCAGGACCAAGGGAATAGTGATGAAGATCCAGAAATGAAACCACAGACCTTTAGACACCTAGTCTTCAATATGGGAGCTAAAAACATAGAGTGGAAGAAAGACAGCCTCTTCAATAAAGGGTGTTAGCAAAATCAATTAATCACCTGTGGACAACTAAAGCTAGATCCCCATATATCACCCTGCACCAGAATCAACTCCAAATGGATCAAAGATGTAGAAGTCAAAGCAGACACCCTGAAAACATTACAGGAAGGAACGGGAGAACCTCTACAGCTCTTTGGCACAGACCGAAATTTTCTCAATAAAGACCCAGAAACACAACAAATCAAAGAAAGGTTGGACAAACTGAATTGCATTAAACTGCAGAGCTTCTGCATGGCAAAGGACATAGCAAGATCCGTAGAAAGCCCACGAATTGGGAGAAAATCATCACTAGCCATAAAACAGACAAGGGCCTCATATCTAATATATACTTCGAACTCAAAAAATTAACTCCCCAACAACAAATCCTCAAAGAAACAACAACCTGATTAATAAGTGGGCTAAAGACTTAAAAAGAGACTTTTCTGAAGAGGAAATAAGAATTGCCAATAGCCACATGAAAAAATGCTCAACTTCTCTAACCATAAAAAAATGCAAATCAGAACAACTTTGAGATTCCACCTCACCCTAGTTAGAATGGCTATAATCAAGAACTCTAATAACAAGAGATTCTGGAGGGGATGTGGCCAAAAGGGAACCCTACTGCATTGTTGGTGGGAGTATAAACTTGTTCAACCACTTTGGAAAGCAGTATGGAGGGGCCTCAAAAGACTCCACATAGAGCTCCCCTATGACCCATCAATCCAACTTCTGGGCATTTACCTCAACGATCACAAACTAGGCGATACTAAAGCGACGAGAACAGCTATATTTATTGCAGCATTATTCACCATAGCTAAGATTTGGAACCAACTCAGATGCCCCTGAATAGATGAATGGATCAAGAAAATTTGATGTGTGTGTGTGTGTGTGTGTGTGTGTGTGTGTGTGTGTGTGTGTGTATCAGAATTCTATGCCTCCATCAGAAAGAATGACACCACCCCATTTGTTAGGAAAGACTTGGAAAAAAATCATATTCAGTGAAGTAAGCCAGACCCAAGGAAACAATGGTCCCATGGTTTCCTTTATTTTCATTAACTAGTATACATCCAGGATAATCATACCAGACAAGCAGAAAAGGTTAAAAAGCTATGTACATATGACCATATGAGATTATGCTAAGTGAAATGAACCCCAACATAGGGACACAAGAGGTTTTTGCGTTTTTGCTGTAGTTTTTAATGTATTGTGTGATTTTTTTGTTTCTTTTGTATGTTCTTTCACTATGGTATAATCTCTGTTTTCACTGTACTTGATTCTGGTGCCCTGCGTCTTGTATATACATTTTTCTAATTTGGGGAGGGGAAGGGAAATAACAAAATGCTGAAACAAGGATACAGATTGACCCATTATAATAATGACATGTACAAGACAGTATGTTGAAAATGAACTTTACAACTTCGGGGGTGGGGTGGGGAGGAAGGGATTGGGGATGTTGGGAGGGAAGGGATGGTAAGGGAAAACAATGGTGGGGTAACAATGTTTGAGAAGAAATGTACTCATTATCTTATTCATGTAACTGTAATCCCTCTGTTCAGTATTTTTACAATAAAACTATATATTAAAAAAGCTGAAATAATGACAAAGAGGTAGCAAATTTTAATATGAAGTTACTCTAACTTCATAGTCTGAAAATGGAATCAGTGTGAAAATCTAAAACATTAAGATATAGACAAATTTGTTACCTGAGCAAAGAAAGTGTTCTTGAGATTCCCAAGTTAGAATGCTGACAAATGTTTTAGGTCTTCAGGTACTTTTGGAAACTTCACTCAATCTGTTGATTGTGTAGGCACAGTGCCAGAAACAGTAATAGATGCTCTAGGCTGTGTACTGATTTGAGAGATGAGACAATAATTCATATGGGAACTCTATTTTTCCATTAATAAATTACCCAGAATTCCGGGAAGAATTCAATAAAGTACCTTACAAAATAGTCAATGTGTGGACATGAATTGACACACAGCAAAGAAAGTTACTTTGGATTAAATGGACTTGAGGCAAGAAGTAACAAAGAAGAATACAACTGTGGACATTTTGGTGAAGAGATATTTATCCTTATTTTCCCATTTACCAGCATAAACTCCTAATTCTAAAAGCAGCCTTAAATAATTTTTTATCAATAGCCCTCTACTATAAAGTGCTCATTTGAGGCAAGTGAAAAGGCATACCTCTCCTTATTTCAAATCCCTAAAACAAAATTATAGCCTGCAGTGAGAGAATTTAAAGCTTTAAAGTAGATTGGGAATTGCTGAATTTTACTGCAAGGAGTGTTCAATACCTATGTTCAATTTATGGATCCATTACTGTGGATTCATGAAAAATTTGTGTATCTTCTGTAAGTAAAAATTATACTCTAATTATCTTTTAAATTTTTATTATTCCAATTTTTAAATCACTAGTTTTTGTATGCCATGAAAGATTAAGACATGGTGAGACTTAGCACCAATACATTGTACATATGTTGATATGTTTTATGTATTTTATCTCTATACAAGTTTTATATTGTTAATACAAAGCTGAAAATGATGGGCAGATTATCTTGGAAATTTTGTCATTAGGGAATTAAGAGACATTCGGTCATGAAGAGAGCAAAAAGAAAATGAATTATGATATACTTTATAAAGGACATCTCTATCAATCCCAGATTCCTTCTGCCTTTACACTTGACATGATTCATTAAGTTTAGTAATACCAAGTAGCAATAAAAGTATATAAGGATTCAAGGATTTAACTCTGGGAAAGAATTTACAGATCTTCTCATTCAAACTAGATGTTTATTACACATGATTAAATTGTGATACAGACAGGTGCTCCAGAAAAAAAGGCCTTGGAATTAGCCATATTAAAGAATGAGGACAGTGGCTAACTGGGACAGTCTCAGTCCTTTACCCTTAGCTGAGTGGGCTGGCATCCTAGTACTGGAACATTTGTTTATCTTGAGTATACATCATTTGCTTCAATAATCAGCCCTGATGTGGTAAGTACTTGAGAAGTACTAATAAAAAATAGATATGGATAAGATAAATAGAAAATAAGGATGAAGCTGGGCACAAGTGGCTCAAAGCCAACCCTGGCAGGAAAGTCCGTGAGACTCTTATCTCTAAAAATAATAAGTAAATAAAACCACCAGAAAACTGGAAGTGGCACTGTGACTCAAGTGATAGACCGCTCATCTTGAGCTGAAGAGCTGAGGGATAGGGCCCAGGTCCACAGTTAAGCCCCAAGACTGACCAAAAAAAGAAAAAAAGAAAATAAGGTTGAAGACAAAGTCGGATGTCTCTGTAAATTGCTCTCACCTAAACAAAAAATTTGCTTTGTATAGATTAAACAAGGACACTAACATGTGGAAGGCCCTTTACAATACTCGAAAAAGAAGAAAATACTCAAAGGTACTACTATGATGAACTAAACTACATAAATTTTAAATATTACTAATTGTCTATTTAGAAATTTTCATGTTTTTGCTTATAATAATCTATGAAACTATATATTCTTATAGAAACTACATATATTCTTTTTTGGTTTGAGAAAAATTGGTTTATTTGTTTATAATTAGCATCTTATTATCTTGAAGCCAATCTCATAAACACAAACATTGATTTAACAGACTCTTTAAACAAAAGATCGTGAATTCTGATCCTTAAATATTCTGTGACAGACCATGCTAAGAAGCTACCTCTGAGGTAGAAAAAAGATATTCTTATGCTGTAAATTTAAGAAAATAGGCATTTTTAGAAAATTAATGATAAAAAATATTAAGGAAGAGCCTTTTCTTTTATTAGAAAACACAAAACACCAACTTATGTAAAATAACTCATAAATGGAGTAGATTCTTATAGAAGACAATGAATAATATCAGGATTTTTAATAAATGTGACTTTTCCCTATTAGTTTTCAACCCCATTGTCCTAATAAGTCTTTATAGCCACTTTCATGAGAGTATACAGATCTAAAGTCAAGATAATGGAGAGGAGTACACATTTTAGAGTACTTTCTCTGACTGTTTTTCATCATAGTTGAGCCAAAAATAGAGACCATTCTCATGGGCTTTCTCTTTTGGTCCTCTAATTCCAACCATTAGACTTTAGTTTGTATTGTGTTCACACAAGGGAAGATGTTTACTTTATTGCTTTGCCTTGAGCATTTCAGGGATCTGAATAAACGTTAGGTGAGCAACTTTCTCAAAGTTCCACAATACTTTTATCAATGTCTGAAAAATCTAGTCCATCAAATCATCATTAAATTTGGATATACCATGACACTTCAAGCTCTTATTTCAGATTCTATTTGAGTAGAGTCAACAACTTTGGACACCAATTATATATGAAAAAACTGAAAATATATTTGTGTCATGGTTTTCTTATTCTTAGTTTCTAAATTTTAAATCATCATCCTAAAGTGAATATAACTTTTAAAATATTTAATGAAACTGGGTGGTCACCAAGAAGACTATGATAAGGGGGAGAATCAAGGTTTAAGGCCAGTATAGGCAGAAAGGCTTACTAGATTTGATCTGCAGAACAAACAATAATAAACCTTATATGGAGGTGTGGCTCAAGTGATAAAGCATCAGCCATACATACATACATACATACATACATACATACATACACACATACACACATACACACACATACACACAAAGACACTCGTTTTAAATGGAAATGTTTGTTTGGTCGCTGACTTGTAAATTACCCTGACATATGAAACCTATCTTCACATTTATCAAGTATTTTATTCAAAACTTCTGTACCATTAGAATGTCTGTAATTGTTCTCCCATATCTATTAGGAATATAAATAAATGCTAATGCCAAATGGACTGTGTGTTTCTCAACTAGTGACCAAATAATAATTGGCAAGTGTCATTCAGGTTACAGATTTTCTTTGTCTTCAGAAACATAGATAGACAATCCAGACATTCTTTATTATGAATCCAATTTTTCTTTGTTAATAGAAAATCCTTTCAGATATTTGCAAAATTTCATTAAATATGTTACACTAATTTTTATTATTATAATCTTTTGAGTATTTTTTGAACAATTGGCAAAGGCTATGTCAAGTTCTGCCAGCCAGATAACAGTTTAATTTGAAAGTCTTTCCTTCTGAAGGTTTAGAGAAATTGAATTATATAATCAGACTTTGTTTTAAGAAGATTGATGTCACTGTATTGTTCATGAGGGATTCAACAGTAGAAAAATCAGTTATAAAACATTAAAATAATCCAAGAAGTAGTATGAATAATGAGAATGTAAGGAGAAGAGAATTATGTATATTACAATTGAAAGATAATTAGATTTTGATAATGATTATTGGAAGTGGTTGGGATATAGTAATGCAAAGTGTGAAGAACATTAAATGAATCATTTTGAAATTTCTAAACTGAGCTTTCCATTACTTATAGATAAAAGCATCATAAAAGTCAAACTGTTTCCTTCTCAGGAGAGATAGTTAAAGAAAAAGAGGAGCCAGTATAGGTCAAGAGAGTAAGGGATTCTCTTTAGTTTTGTGATGTGGAGATCATGGTATGAAACACTTTCTAAATAAATAAAAATAATATGAGTTGGGTTAAAGGCATGGTTCAGGGCAAAAAATACCTGCCTAGCAAAAATACCATTTTGAATTTATACACATATACCACAAAAAAATGTAAAAAGAAAAAAGAGTTCCTATTTATATGCTCCATCTTTGTGGTATGAAACCATTTCTGATATGAGCATCATATATTGACTAAATCAGGATAAAATAGTTAAATTTAATAAACACAAAAATATTCAATATGTGCATTCAATATATTTCTATATGTTTTCATTCAGAATTATTTGGATACGTGTGTGTTTGTGTGTGTGTGTTAGTCAATAAGTTAGGGACTTCTATTCCATTACAATTTCTCAAGAAATCTAAAATTGAAATACTGATTGGGAATGATGGGCATTGTGTTTTCTGTTTGTCTTTTTATTAATTTTCAGTTTTCTGAATTAATAAACCTCAAAAATATTTTAAATAGTTAAGCTATATTATGTGATTCACTCAAAATTCAGCAAGTCATTTAAATGATTCACTTGTCTTTTCCAATGCTTTGAATGCTTTAACTTTAATTTTTGCTTTACTTTGTTTATTTTGTTTGCTTTTATTTAAAGCATGTAGTAAAAATTTTAATGTAATGGAAAGAACACTGAGGTTTTCAATTTTAAATTGTATTTGAATTTTCTTTCCTGCTCTATGACTTTGAACAACTAGTTAACTTAATTGTTTTAATATGGGACAATAATTAGGTTAGATGACATAATAATTAATAACATTTTTACAATTAAAATAGTATGAGTTATTTAGCTGTGCACTAGCTATTATCCTGTACATAGACATTTCACCTGTTCCAACCAAATGTCCTCTCCAAACATGCTTGCTAGAGGTGCCTCAGGCTGTTCTCTCTATCTAGAGTCAATCAATTCACCCAAAGTCATGTTCCTGCATATGTATATACGACTGTGTAAAAACAGAAACAAAGTCCACTGTGACATCAACTGAGGGTTCCCCCTGCCCACTCCGGGCAACATTTGAAGCCCAAGTTCTCCTCTACCTAACTCTGTGTTCTGTTCCCTCAACAGATGTTAACCCCCAGGTACAAGAATCTTTTTATACACATTTGCTTCCCCCAAACTCCAATATTTAACAAGTTAAAAGTAATGATTTTCTAACCTAGAAATTTTATTGTCTCCTGTGTCTTGATTGTACTTGCATGTTCATGTACACTTTTACTCATTGTTTATTTTGTGTATTTTTGTTCCTTCTAATTTGTAGCTTCTTAAAGGCAAGGAAGTCTTTTTAAAAATTTTATTGCCAATAACATTTATTTGCTTGGTTGGTTGAATGCATGAATGAAGAGATATTAAAATGGCTGTAATTGTTTGCTTGATCACTGAAGAGCAATGATGAACTATGTGTTTTGTCAATTTTCTCTGTAGTGCACAGTGTGATTTCCCTATCTGCGTAAAAGATGATTTGCTTTTAATTTTAACATGGATCTAAGAGTTTTATTGCATCTTTATAATCATAGGATATTTAGGAGTTTATTGCTGGCTTTGGACATATTAAATATTGTGACATTATCATGGATTTTTCTAAATGGTTTCCCAATAATAAAGTAGAAATTTTTACTTAGAACTAATGAAGGAAAATATGATAGTGCAAAGATTTAAAAGGAAAGTTTTTCTCTTAATCTTTCTATTTTATTGGTAAACTTGGTGATTTTAATTGTTTTCTAGTATGCAAGTTTCATTATCAGTCATATGAGACTGATTTATACATAAATATCTATCTATCTATCTATCTATGTATACATACATAGTTAAAATAGGATTTTACTATAGTATTACAAATTGATATCACTATCCTTAAAAGTGAAATCCATAGGTATAATCAGATCCTATTCATCTGAAAATCACAAATAAGAATGCTATATCATTTATAATCACATAGTCCATTCCATTCTTGGTCTTGGCTTTCATTTCTAAAAAGTGTTCCATTTACTGGAAGTTTTGAGAATATCACAAGAGATCAATCACATACTATACATTCATTCACATTCTATTCACATTCTATTAGCCCTTTTCCAAAGCTTTCCATTCTGTTTTCCAAATTATATTCCTGTAATTCATGAATTTACTAATTCCAAGTGATTTGAATTTCATGTTCAATCTTAGATGCCCTTTTAGTAAATCATACCATTATTCAGTATTTCCCTTATTCAAAAGAGAAAAAACCCTCATATTAAAGAAACTATCTGAACCACTCCATTTTTACATCACTGAAACACATTTTTGTAAAATACTGTCTTGGAATTTTACCTTTGTATGAAAAATAGCAGCTTTTATCTTTCAAGAAATTATTAGAGAAAACACTGCAGAATGTGACTATTACAATATTGCACCAAGTGTTAGAGACAGGCCCCCAAACACTCTGGGCATTTTCATCATGAGCAGATGCATTTAAAGGCATCAACAATATTATTTATTGTGTGAAACCCAAAATTATTTCAGTATGATTCTATGTTAACCACCACTGTGACTCTTAATTATTTCAAGAACACAGTCTATGGTCTATATCAATACTAAATGGAAAGCTATAGATATTGAATCAATTTGCAAATATATATTATAATGTATTCTAAATAAAATCTAAGACATCTGAGGTAAAACACAAAAGAAGTACCAGAACAATGTGAAGCCACTCAATGTATAAAAAAATAAACTTAAAGTACAAATAGATACTCTTTTGTGTAGTAGTAAAGTCATTATAAAGAAGGTAGAGACCGTCAAGAAATCATTATTAATCTAGACCTGATAGCTCTTGTGTCCTTTGATCCTAGCTACTCAGGAAGCTGAGACCTGAAGGATCATGGTTCGAGAGCAGCCCAGGTTGTCACAGTAAAAATGCATACTACACTCCTTCAAATGTATTTTCATTTTTATGCAAAAAATTTGTGTTTCTGTAGCAGAAGCTGATTATAAAAGTTAACATTCTTGATGTCTCAAGTTTTAAACTGCCTTCTAGGTGGCTAGCCTTGCTAAGCATCTATGAATATATGTACCTTGTACCTATACTGAAAATCAGTTTTAGCTGAACCACATAAATTGGGTCAGAAAGGAGTGTTGCTAAAAAGAAGCTGAACAATTCTGAAAGCTCATACCTCTATTTTATTTGGCTTAGGTTATGTGTTTAAAACTAGCATTTCTCTATAACAAACACCAGAATATATCTAGATATATTTAATACATAAATGATCTATTTGTGTCTTCACAGGATCATGTTTTA